CACAAGCTTTGGGTAGTGACCAAAAGAATAAGTTTGCAAATACAAGGCCTGAATGAGTTTCCTTCATAGGGTGGCCAGATTTAGCCTGTGGAGTTCGGACATCTGGAAGGGACTCGGAGAAGAACCACTGCTCCTTCACATTGAAAGGAGCCAGATGAGGTGGTTCAGGCAGCTTATCGGGATGCCTCCAGGGCATCTCCCTTTGGAGGTCTTCTGGTAGGAGATTTTGGGGCAGACCCAGAACATGCCAGAGAGATTATAGATCTTATCTGACCTGGGACCCCCTCAGAATCTTGCCAGAGGAGCTGAAACATGTCGCTGAAGAGAGAAAAGGCGTCCAGCCTTACTGTGCCTTACTAAACCTGCTGCCACTGCGAATGATAATGGATAGATGGATGAATTTTGTACTGTATATCTTATCAAGTTATAGAAGTTCTGAAAACAGGCCTTAGAGAAGGTAATAGTAGTCTCAGCAGCTGACAGTCACAGCACACACACAGGGAACTCACAGCACACAGTGCTTTGAGAGACTGATTACATCAAGTTTGTCACTGGGCAGAGAAGATGTCTGTCCTCAGATTTGTCAGAGCAGCCTCAGCAGCTTATCTCTGGTCACAGAGATGCTGTAATATTAAATGTGCTCTCTTCCAGCAATGTGTCCTGGGGCAGCTTGTGCTGTGATCTTCCAAGCTGCCCCTCAACATAAGCCAGGTGCTTCTTTGCAGTTGTGCTTAAAATCCAGCACAGATATACATAGAATTTTAATTTTGTTTTATTAATAAATTATTTTTTTTGCCCTTTTTGTCCCCAGACTCAGTGTGTAGGCAAAACATGGAATATGAGTTAGTCTCATTAGCTGGATACACTTAATTAAATTGGCTGCATTGTCTGTAATAATGGATCTTATTTTACCCTGGAGGCCCCACTCAGAGGCTTTTCCTTCTGAGGTATTACCTGGGGGAACTTAGTCACACCCACTAATCTGCCTTGATCAGTGAAATGACATGTGACAGCCAAAACAGCTTCAGTGTTGACTGAGATCTACATGTCAGATGTGAGGCTCACACACAACCAGCATTCCTTAATTACTCCAACTTTTTCTGCTTTTCTTTATACCTATTCTCAAACATGTGCTTCAGTGAATTCCTGCTAGGTAAAGCGTAAGTCCACTTCCTCCACCATTATTAAGCAATGTGTGTTTTTATGTATCCCTTTCAATGCGGCAGTGTCATTTTAATAGGTGAATGTGCAAAGTTAACTGAACAAGAACATCATAAAAAGGCCATAACTAAATTAACATCCATACATAGCTGTGGAGCACTGGATGCTTGCTGGGGTGGAAATGTGTGCATCATTGTCTACATTACCACTTGGATCATTCAGATGTTTAGAGTGCAGGTGTCTAAACACACAGGTGGAAGAGCTGTTGTAGTATTTTAACCCTACATGATACTCTCCACTTCACTTCATCACTGGAAATGACATCAAACTTTGTGTTTTTCTCCTCCCCTGGAGAGATGACCTGGTGGTCATGTGACTCGTGTTACAAAGCAGTGATGTAAACTTTGCTTCAAGACTGAAAGTCTCAAATGGCTTTGAAACAGATCGATACTGGGTACCGATATTGCCATTTCTACTGTCATTATCAGTAAAATGTTTGATAAATGTACTGCATTGTATTTATTAGTAAATGTAAAACAATTTCAGCTGTGTGAACTTAAGCATTTGACTTAAAAGAATGTTAAACAGTACGTAAAACAAAATAATTGTAGTAACTGTAACAAAATTGATTGCTGGTATAATTGTATTGATGTCAGTTTCATTCAAACAAATTGATTTTTTGATTATCAGTTATTTACATTTTAAAAGCAATCCTGTGCCTCTTTTTTAGGACAATTTCTCTGGATTTAAAGTGTGATCCTAAAGGCACAACAGATTAATCACAGCAGTTTTGCAGAAAACAGCTACCTGGCACTAGAAATGACATTGACGAGAGCAAGTGAACTGAATCAGTGATGTTAAAAACTCTGGATTTCTGAGGGGATCTGCAAAGTTATGAGCTGCGCAAAACAAAGCATGTTTCTCATGTTCCACATTCATTTTATTTGGGTAGCTTTATCACTGATACTTTACATTTTTGTCGACCCTTCTCAAGTACATGCCACACATATTTCTGATTTGAGATTTTCTGTACCACTGGTGTCCACTGGTTTCTGTACAGCTGTGTAATTTATCACACTGATTACGCCTGCCTTCATTTTTGTTAGCATAACATTGTTATGAGGTAGCACTATTCAGATTTTTAATTCAAGCTTCACTCTATCATCACACAATAATATAATGTGTGTCACACATCCGGAAATGGTCAATAAAGCAATAAAGTAAAGTGTACACGTTTTGTAGTTGAGGATACACACTGCGGTATGGAAAAAGGTAGAGGAGAGGCTGACAGGCATTCGTTTGAAGGGGATTCTGTGATCAACTGAAGTGTTGGATAAGCATTTATACCTGCTGATGGTGCTAGTGGAAAGGCCAGGGGGTCACCAAACTCATTCAAAGTCATGCTCAGCAAATCCTGACTGTTTGTACAAAAATGATCACTTTTAATTGATGAGTCTGCTGCATCACAAATGTTGAAGAAAGCTCCTGGTGTTGACACTGCAGTGTCAGAAAGGGAGGGCGGACACCACACACACACACACACACACACACACAGAGAAAGAGAGAGCACTGTACATCCATTGCACGGCCACTGCTAGGCTCTTACACCACAAACAAACATACAGTTTTTACCATATTATTTCAAATGGTTACAAAAATAATCTTTATCACATTCATCACTGTAAAGATATGTCCTTCAACCATTTCTCATTATGACAAGATGCTCTGACCATAGGATTACAGCTCCACAAAATCCAAAGGTTTGACAATATATTTCCATAACAATTACGTTTCACTGTGAAGTCCAGAATCTTGGACCTCCACATAATGTTGTAGTTCTACAGCACTTCAAAAAAATTGAGGTTTTGAACGTGTCTTGATTCTGACCCTGTTTTGTGGTTTTTCAACAAATAAAATTCTGACCTTGATGTACTTTCATACATGAGCTTAGACAATATGTCAAAGATTTATAACATCAAAGGGTATGAACTTCATGTTATTGTTCAATAATAAATGTACTTAAAGGTTCTTAACAATAGAATATTATCACTATAACAATATAGTGCCATACCCATGCATGCAAATAGCAACATGTAAACATTTGTGATTGTGTTCTTTCATATTTCCCTTCATAGTGGAGAAGCAGACAGAGCAGACAGACACATGCCACAGCCAGTCTGTCACACACTGCACACTCATCTGCATTGACTGGCACCAACATGGATATTCAAAGCCATTTGCTCACAAATTAGTACAGTTTCATAAAGTGACATATCATTTTTCAAATACATAGAACAGGAAGTAACACTTTGTAAACTAAATGTAATGTATTACACAAGTTGTGAAAAAAGCAAAAAGGGAAGAACACTGTTGAAATAATTTAAAAAATTAGCAGCAAGACTACGGACGTTAATCTGACAAATAATCTTCTTACAAATGAAGTTTGAATTCATAAGCAAAGAAACTTTAGGTATGGCTCAACGTGTGCTGCTGTTATACTATGCTTTACTGCACCATTAGCCATTTTTTGTTAGTTATTCATCACATTGGCTGTTGAGTAAAAGTTGCATGGTCTTGCTTTAAAGCTAAAGTTGGCTAAATCAGTGCTACATGCTCAAAGTCCATGGATTTGGTTGGTCAATTTGTCATGTTCTAAATTTATGTCATAAGGGATTAATAATGCCCATCAAACATAAACATTTCTTCCACCTCAGACAAGTCATCAGACATCCGTAAATCATTAGACTTACTCTCATTATACAGCTGCACCCTAAGTATTCAACAGTCTAATTTAGCACATGCACTGATTCATGCACATATCAAAACAGATGACATGCACCCAGGATGTGCTCACAATGCAGCACTGCTTTGAATAAAGTTTTTCTTAGATTTGTTCTGATAATCTATATTCTGTGCCATTACAGACTAAAATGACTGTAAAAATATCTGTCGGAATTGTCAGAAAACAAGTTCATTTGTTATCACTATTAAAGGGTTCTGCTTACATTTGATGGTGGCCCAGAGGTTTGCAAAGCGAGCTTGTGACAGGTCACCAGTTCAATCCCTGGACCGGCAGGTGAAAATCTGGGTGGGACAGGTGACAAAGCAGAGCTTGCCCCACCCTCATTAATTAACACACACCCTTTGAGGAAGACCCTTAACCCCAAAAACTGCTCCAGTGGAGCTGCTTGGTAGCCACAGGTCAGTG